ACCGGTTAACACAAGGCTGGTCCAGCACTTATCATCCACTTGTCTGTAGAGGAGACACGATCAATTTGTTTTCTTCTCCTAACCCAACTAGCTGCCTGATTTCACTGCCTGGCTATTTTGGCATCGTGTACATTTAAATTAGTTCTTTAATGATCCCCAAATGGACAAGGCTTGCTTGGGATGACAGAAATAATTACCTTACGGTCTATTTCTAAAAACAAAAATAAAAACAAAAAGACTATAAATGCTATTTCACCATCATACTAGAAAACTAGTGACATTTTCACAGTTCAATAACTCAGTCAGTCATTTTGTTCCTCAATACCATGTTTTCCTGTGTATAATGGAAACTTTTTTGCCCAAATTTTTGAGGGGAAAATAAGGATGCGCATTATACACGGGTAGTGCTAATTCCATATCTGATAAATGTTTTTTCTTCTTCTATTTATGCTTATGCATTAAAAGTGTAACTCTAGAAAGCAATAATGATATCTGAATGTTCAAAAGTAAATGCTAAAATTCCTTTATAATACAAAAAACACGTATCTAAATATAAATAAATAAATAATTGAATTAAAATATTAAAATGAAAGATATTTTTCCTGCAAGTGTGGGCCAAAACCCTGACTGTGCATTACACACAGCAATATATGGTAGTTGACAGTAAAACATCGACTCAGGGCGTGGGACAGAGCTCTGAAAACATATCAACATGCTAAGTGAAACAAGCCAACACAAAAGGGCAAATATTCTATGACTTTACTTTTTTGAGGTACCAAAATAAGTAAATTCATAGAAACAGAAAAATAGAATAGAGGTTACATGGGGCTGTGGAGGAGAGGGGGATGGGGAATTGTAACTCAGTGGTTACAGACTCGCTGTTCGTGATGATAGGAAGTTTGGAAACAGACAGCGGTGATGGCTGGCTGCACAACACTGAAAGTAATGAATGACAGTGAACTGTAAACTTAAAAATTGGCTTAAAAGATAAAGTTCATGTTATGTATATTTTACCACAAAAAAAATTTATTTAAAATATATCTACAGTTGCAAAGAACATGTTGATAGAGGGCAGAGGGACACTGGAAGGTGCATTCATTTACAAATTATTTGTTCTTCGCAATGTTCAGTTAACAAGATGGTCTTTTTAGTCACTCTATTTGATCATCATAATAACCTATGAGGCCGACAAGGCAGGTACTGTTAGCTCTACTTATTTTAATGGATCAGCACCCTGAGGACTGGGGTTATAGCGTTTAACTCTTCCTCAATGAAAAATAAATAAGCCACAGAAAGATGTGTTCATAACGTTTTCAAATTGGAACAGTGAGGTAAGACCATTTAATAAGGAAGCCCTGTGCCTAAACTATGATAAATAAGGCTGCCTGGGGCTGACCTTGGGGTTGAAGAAAGAAGCTGGAAGTGGTGACTCAGGGGGACATCAGAGGAAAAGGAAGAGGCTGTCAGTGCTTAAACACGTTTGAAAGGTGAAATCAAAAATAAATACAGACACAAAAACACAACCTATACTTTCCAAGCCTCTGGTCAGACAGAGAACAGCTAAATCACGGCTTCCCTTCCTTTAAATATGTAGGCCTCAGGCTATAATCATTGCTCTTTTATGGACTTTTCCACTCTTTTGCTGTCTGAGATGCTCTTTTGAACTGCAGACCACTGGGATGCTCAAGAAAGTGGATACTAGCCACTGAATCATTCATTTATGCAATTGCCAGATTTGAGTGAGAAAATATCTAACCTGGTTTGGTTTGGGCGTAATAAGGAAAAATTATTTAAAAACAGGTATCTCTTAGTCGTGAGCTGAGTCTATTTTAAATAGCCCAATAACCCCTTTCTCCTTTGAGGTGAGTAGTACGGGGTGTTTCACCCTCTTCTTCCCAGATTGCAGACTTCATCCCCCATCTTCACCACTGTATCTTCAGCCCACCGTAAAGTGCCTGACACTTAATTGGGGCTCAACTAATGCTGGTGGAATACACTGCTGAATGACTGTCTCACCTACTTAGAACAAAAAAAACACATTCTTTTTCACACTAAATAGGTTGAACTTCAAAAAATGTATGCACCTCTTCTATTGCAACCACCAATGAAATAAGCGAGCTTGTTTCTACACTAAATGCAATCTAGCTATGCAATTTTAGGTGAATACTCTGGAATGTCTGAGGGTAATAACTGTAGGATTAATAATGGGGTCCACATTACAGGCCCATGTTGGCTGAGAGGTACCCCAGTAAGACAAATGTCCTATAATCACACAGCATACAAGACGCCTAAATCAAACTTCCCCCAAATCCAAACAATAGAACTGAGCCCGTTTGACTAAAAATGAGCTGGGGATCACCTGTCAAATTATTGTAGTCACTGTTTCTAGTTCAAAACATTTTAGAGCTTCCAAGAATACTAAAATTAATAAAAACTTCACATCTCACAATACTTTCTATAACATTTTTATATTTTACACTTTAAGCATGTTAGAGCAGTGGTTCTCAGCCGAAGGTGATTTTGCTCCCCTCATAGGACATCTGGCAATTCCTGGAGACATTCCGGTTGTCACAAGTGGGGGGAGAGGAGATGGTGGCACACTACTGGCATCACGCTACTGGGTAGAAGCTAGGGATGCTGCTAGACATCCTACAATACACAGAACAGCTCCCCAGCACAAAGGCTTATCCAGCCCAGAAGGCTAATAGGGCCAAGGTTGAGAACTCCTGCATTAAACAAGATATACCTTGTGCTGAATGCTGAGAACTTAAAGATAAACAAGTAGGCTTCTGCTATTGTGGGCAATCGGTGGAGTGATGGGAACAGGCAGATAACACTGACAACAGGCTGTGATAAGTGCTGTGACAGAGGTGTGTACAAAAGGCTACTAAGAGCAGAAGCAACAGCTATTATCAGCCGGGAGGTCACAGCACTTCACCAGCAGTGACTTTTCAGCTGGAGTTTGAAAGATGATTTCATCAAGTAGAAGAAGGCAGGGTATGTGGGAGAAACCACATGCAAAAGCCAGCAAGTGCCAACCTGAAGGACGCCAGGGTCATCAGTATTGTGTGGCAGGGCTACCGAAGCCGGAGAATAACACGGTACATCTCCTCAAGGGCCATCTTCATAAGCTTGGGACGAGGTTAGTAATTTAACAGGTAAAATGATTTTTTATGGCATTTTTTAAAATATCAAGAACACAGGTATATTGAGTGGATTATAAACTTTGCATAAATTTTTAAAATAACACAAGAAGGTATTTTGTTAAATTTGCACTACTAAGGGTAGTACAAGTTTAGGTACGGGGAGGGGGTTTTTCCCACCTCAGGAATACTTTGGTGACGTTTGAACAGTGGAGGAGGTTCTAAATTAATTTCGTGTGTTTGGGGCACAGGGTGGGTGCGAGTAGAGGGAGGAAGATGGCTCTGTGGGAAACCAGGCCGGAGGGTGTCACCTTCATGGTTCTCGCACGTGACGCTCTAGAGTCCAGACTTCCTACAGCCTGGGGACGGGGACTGACCGGGGATTACGAGTGAGGCGACGGCACATATTAGTGCTGCAGAAGCAGGTGGCAGGAGAAAAGGTATGACGCATGGCAACTTAAAATACTTCAGATGAGAGATGACGAAAGTCTAAATAAGGCAACGGCATAAAAGAGGAAGATTTTGGATGCGGAGGTGGTAGAATCCATAGGATCAAACATGAGATTGACAGAGAAGAAACTTTTTAGGTTGGACAACTGGATGGGCAAGCAATGAGTACAGAAAACGGGGAAAGTTTTTTGCAGTGGATGCAAAGGTGATCTTATCTGAACCTCAAGGCAAACCTGTAAATTATGTAAAATATGTAGATACAATCTTGTTCAGTTTACAGACAAGTTTAATGAAGCTATGACAGTGGACATCTTGCCCAGGATCACACATCCAACATAAAATAACTGACATTAGAGCTCAGGGCTCTCAGCACCTGCCGGGGTTCTTTCCACTCTCTCTGGTCACATTTTATAATTATAATCAAACCTGATAATCATGACAGATCAGTTTGGACCAAATTTCCATAGGCCTTCACAGTCTGGGATAAAATTCTGAATTAGTGATATTATGTTAGGAGCTTGTCCACTTCCAGGCAAAGTCCATTTCGACCTCCATGTAAATCCAAGAGACAATTAATTGTGACTAATTGTGAAATCCAGGAGGAGTGACTGAAAGTTTGTTTCTTAAATTGTTCTTTATCCAGTCCCTGTATATGACCAGAATGATTGAAAGTATGTCTTTGTATAACTTCATGAGCAATCACACTGGAATAAATCAAAATTCTAGCACCAAGCCTTAGCACCCCCATGGTACCTGTGGGTGGGTACTGAAACGGCCTGGGCAAAAGCTGTAAGCACGCATGGAGCCTGTTCATGATCGGTTCACTAAAAGTGGAGCGTCGCTTTCTCTGCAATGCATTTCACTTCATGAAGTCAGTAAGAAAGCTCTACAATGGTCTATGATGCGAAGATCATCTATGTCTCCGCTAGGAAAAGGTTCAGTAAATAAATATAAACAAATAAAGATGGTTTTGGCATGGCTGACTCATTCCACTGAGCACGTAATGTGATGATCTGGAGCCTGGGCTTTGGCACGAGAGGTCTGGTTTGGGGTCTCAGCCTGTCACTTAACCAGCTGAGTAAGCTTAGGCAGGTAAAGTGCTTCTCCCTGGATTTCTTGATCTATAAAACGGAGACACGTATGCCCACCTCCTATAATATAAGTGGAAAGTTAAAGATTGTAAAATGTTCTAATACACTCCCATCATACCAAAGCTTTCAGGAACTGATACCTTCCTGTGTTACAACAAAAAAACACTCTAATCTCCATGTTTTTTCCACCTAAAATGTAGTGCAACTCTATAAATTAAATGCAGCTGTGTAAGCAGGTGGGCACCCTCCCCCCCGCAACTAGAGAGCCCACCAGTGGCTTTCTGCGCTTCCCAGACCCCCTCCTGGAGATACCGACCTGGGAGAGAGGGCATTCTTTGGCTAATGTGCTCTGGTTCATCTCTTTGAGCAGTTCCTTTAAGGCATTGCGGACTGTGGCATGGTTCCACTGCTCCGCGGGCAAGTCTTCCAACTTCGAACAACTGGAAAACAGAGCAAGAATGAGCAACAGGCAAACCTTCGTCAAGGGCCCTGACTGCAGAGGGGTGTGGGTGCAGCAGGCACTCCAGAGAGACACGTCGGCATGAGAAGAACTGCTAAAGAACAGGAGCTAATGTGGGCCCCAAAGGGGGGAAGCAGGGCAGGAGGCTGCTTCTCTGGGCCCTTGTCAGAGCTCACCAGTCACTTTCAGTTGCTTATCGCACTAATCTGAGGAAAACAGTCACTTTGGATATGAAGCAATGCTAATTTTTAAAAATAAGATTTCTCTAACCTGCTGATAGAAATGGCATGGCAGTGTGATTAACAAACTTCCACAACACAAATTTAATTATTGGACATTCCTAAGGTTAAATGTAAAGAAATATTCCATCAGATTTCAAGTTTAAAGGCCCAACCTTCAATCTCACAGGAAAATTCACAGATGTTACCTTCCTAACCAAAAAATAGCTTTTAAGAAAAGACACCAAAGCATTCCTAGACAGGGATGAAAATTTTGTGTTTCTATTAAGGTACAAATTCTCCAAAAGAGGCAAATTCAAAAACTTTACAGTAAAGGACAATGTTTATACCATGTGACTTGCAGGCATTTTACAATACAAGACTCTGCAGAGAACCTCTAGATTCTTTAAAAGAGGCATAATTTGTTATGGATGCTGTATCAGGGCAGGGCGGTGGGGGCGGTGGGGAAGGCAGAAACAACTCCCAGAAACTCTGCAGGCCATCGGAGAGAGGGGACAAGATGTCTTGTGCCAGCGCCTTCTTAGTAAGTCCGCCACACAAGCAAAACGCTTATCCCTCGCAACACAAATCTGAAACCGCACAGGTGTTTATTCTTCAAATACTATGTGCTAAGCATTTAACCAGAGGGCCCGTTAAAGTAGGGACTGTGGAAAGTTCGCCTTTATGGGCTGCAGATTTTTAATGATTTATCAAGCTTCCCCTAGGTTACCACTTCACTGCTTCTGAAAACAAAACATAAAACAGTTGGAATGTGGACTATAAAGATGCCTGGTGAAGTGCCCCTCCTTCTCTTCTCTCTCTCCTTTTTTTCCTTTCACCCAGCGTCTAGAAATTAACAAAGACAGGACACGCGGATCTCCGCACTGACTCTGTGGTCGACGGGGCTGCTCTGAGAGTAAGGAGGGGCAGATGTTCAGAGACACCCACCTCTGTAATTGGATTTTCAACGTCACAACGTGATAGACATCTTGCAGCATGTCGGCCACTGTCGCATCGGGTGCATCTGTCACATAACTGAGGGGGAGAGGGTTCCACCTCCCCAGCTTGATTATTCCTGTGCAGGGAAGAAAAACATAATAAACACATATCTGCTATTTATTAAACCTTCCCATTGTTTGTTCAATGTTAAGAAGGTCATTCAATAGTCAACATTCAAGGCCCACTCAGAGAAATTTTACAACCCAGTGCAATAACCTATGTCTTTCTGGCTGACAACTGAGTGAGTTAACTATACAGGAAGATGAGAATAAAGGGATGAGGTTCAATCACGGACAATCAGTTATTTTGTGTTTTGCTGTTTCTTAAATTACTTAGAAAAGCATAAGGATACTTCCTTCCCCCAAAGTCTTGTTTCACACTCTAACTTAAGACTGATGCTAAATATACCAGACTGCTGATTTCATAGACCAAAAAAAAAAAAAAAGCAAGCCTTAAGTAAATATAAGATTTGGTTTTGAATTGTACGAGACAATTCCTGTGTGTGGGCTCAGCACACACACAGTCACATCCTGCTTGTGGCGCGATCCCGGTGTGAATAGCCTCCGGAGCTGAGGATGCCCTTGAAAGTTCACTTCCAGGTGTGCATGTCACCAGGCAGAGGGGTTGTTTTTCGAAAGCACAATGATTGACCACAGATCAGAAATAGCAGAGATGCCTTCAGCTTCCTTTTTTTTTTGTAATTCCTCAGCTCTTTTTAGAGTGGCAATAGTACCCTTCCCCACAGGGCTCCTGCAGCATATGGCAAACACATGACAATGGAGAGCGAATAAAAATCCTGGTCAAACTTAGCTACAAAGAGCAGCGATTTTAGGAAAACCCTTGTCACAGGAAGATTCATGAGACAGCTTCTGCAACATGTTGTGAAAAGGCTAACTTATGCTTCAGATGGACCCATCTTATCTGGTCATACATAGCTTTGATGAAGAAAAATAAAGAGAAATGCATTTCGCAAGCAACACAGAGTAACAAAAGTTTTATTTGTATGCTATGAAAAATAAAATGGTCCCCAGGATGTCAGAAATTGTCACACACACACACACACACACACACACACACACACAGAGCATGTGTTGGTGATAGAAAAAAGAAAACACTTTGATTTTGATAATAGAGGTTAAGTACAACTATACTGTTCTTTCGAAAAATATTTTTTATCATCAAAAAAAAAGGACACCTATATACCCAAGTGAACTTTCAAAAGCTTTGCAAAATGATGCTTTATAGCTACGGGGTGAAATTCCAATAATAGGAAATGAACTCTCTGGTCAGGCCATGTCCTGTCCAAGATGAAATAAATGAATGCGCAATGCCTGACATAATGCTTGAAAACAGGGAATAAACAGAACAAAAATATTAAAATGATGCACTGTTTCAGTATTAAGATTTAACAATCTGGTGCTGAATATGCTGCAGTATAAATAGTGCCTGGACTCGGATCCAATAAAGTAACACAGCTCTCATTCATAGTACCGTATGTCTCCAGTTCTGGCTCCCTAAGTCATATTTCACTTGCCAAGAAAAGCTGTTTTCTTGTGGGGATAGTTTTCCTAACATTCACTCTCATGACAATGAAAAGTGCACAGCATGCTGCATGTAGTAGTCATGAAATGAACATTCCAACCCCCTGGACAGCCACCCACGAGAGGTAGGGTCTGCTTATTGCTTCTCTTCCTGATTCTGATACTTGAAAATACTAAGAAGATACTATGCAATATGTCTAACATATTTCCTTGTTAAAAAATCATTCCACAATTTTAAATTCCTTTAAAAATCATTATCATGATAGCCCATTAGTTGAATATAAATTGATCACGTTCTAAAGACATGATATTTCATCATCAGAGGTTACAGGGGGATAAAAATGGAATTGGCAGTTGTACACTACGAAAGGCAAGTAGAAGAAGCCGATTTTGTTGGTCATTTTGGTTACTAAGAATACAAAGATAATAATGAAGCAAATAAATCCTGCACACTTCAATGTACAACCCTAGAGCAGATCCCCCTATGCTGTTGTATGTGTCATTATTCACTCCTTCTTATCGTTGAGTAGTGTTCCACTGTAAGAATATACCACAATGTGGCCAGAAACGACAGAATACTGCTGTATGACTTCACTTATATAAATGCAAAAACAGGCAAGACTAATCTACGAAGCTAGGATTCAGAAAGGTGTTGCCTCTTGATGGCAGGGACAATTGACTAGAAAAGGACATAAGGGAATTTTCTTGTTTTGGTTAGTGGCTGCAAGGGTATAAAAAATTGTCAAATTTCACAAAACCAAACCATGTGCATCTATTTTATTGCATGTGAATTGTACCTCAAAAAAAAAAAAGGTGAGGGGGGTTGGAATCTCTCCACAGGAAATGAGAGACAAATCACTCCACTGGAAATAGAAACCTCCATTTAGGTAAATTCTCTCCCCACATTGATGAGCCAGAAGGAGACTTGTTTGGGCTGGAATTAGACACACACAGGTGTCTTCACAACACTCAATATCTCTACTGAAAGCAGCTGCTACAGGTTGCTTTCTACCTCTTAGAGGAGAGCTGTTGATGGATGCTATTTTCAGGCAACAGGAAGTGGCATGTGCTTTTTCTTTTTTGTGCCCTATTGACTAACCTGCACAGTCCTAGAAGTCATGTTCTTTGCTCAAACATGTGCCAGGGTCTGCAGGTACAAGGTCTGCTAGGACCGCTGTGTCCAGAAGGCCGTTCTTCAGCCAGGCAGGGACTGGGAATAATTCTGAAATAAGGATTTCCTCCAAACAGGGTCTCTAACTAATGCATCATCCCTCTGAAAATACCTTTCTTAGATAGGCTCCTCCTTCTCTGATATAAAATAGGCAAAAATATGACTTGGGCTAGGAGTTGAGTGTTAATTGAGAAAATCAAATTGGAAAACAGTATACCATAGTGACTAAGAGAACAAGCTTCCAAGTCAATTGACACTATTCGGATCCTGGCTCCCCCACCTACCAACTATGTAGATTTAGCAAGTTACTTAATTCCCCCATACCTCAACCCTCCCATCTGTGACATGGAGCAATAAAAACACTGACCACATGGGAATAAAGTGCAGGTTAACTGTGAAGTCTTTTTTAGTACAGAACCTGGATATAATTGACCTCAACAACAGTTTGTAGTCATTATTTAGATGTTTTTTAGTACTTCCTAAAAGGAAGATATAGTCCATTTATTTCAAAAAACATTGAATCAAGGATTTTTATGACTTAATTATTTGTCAATCTTCAACTCAAGATTTAAAAGGCCCTGTAAAAGGCCCTCATTATTATAAATCACAAAGGAGGACTGTATCCCTACTAGTCCCCCAATCCTTTGCTTCTATCCGTACTCCTTGGGGCCTCCTTCCTTCTACCAACGGGTTGCTTTAGATCCTCCCTGCTTTAACAGTAACACTACCACGATCTCTTTCCCCTTAGTCTCTCATCTTCTGCACCACCAAATTGACTGAAAGTGCACCTCCAACTTCTCCCTCAGACCTTCCCTTGATATCTAGCTTCAACACTTTTCATGAGGAAATGGAGGTTCAGAAGGGTTGGGTTAACTTGAAGGATCAGAGCCCAGATTCCCTTCGATTACCACGTTCTTGCTCTCTTCAATATCCTGTAAGTCACACCGGCTCGGGTGTGAGGCACCTCAGAAGGAAAGACTGGAAAAGAAGTGGTTCCAAGTCTGGAAGGCTTTGAATGCCCAACTTGGTAGCACACAGTATGGATCAGAGGTCAAGAGCTCAGCCCAAAGTCAGAGGTGAGTTTAGGCTCCACCTCATCTCCTTTCAGCTGTGAAACTCTGAACAGGTTGTTTAGTCTCAAAGGGTCTCAGTTTCCCTTAACTGTAAAATGGGAATAACAACCATAACTACCCTTTAGGGTTGCCATGAGACTTTCAAGGAGAATTACAATTTAGCACTGGGGTTGGTACACAATGAGTGCCCAGTAAACATTAGGTCGGAATAAATCCTTGAAAGTTTTTGAATGTAGATATAATTTAAGAAAATTAGCCTACACTGTAACACAGGTGGATTAAAAGAAGGGATAGGTATGTCTACTTACAACCATGACAGCATCTTCCTTGCTCCCTCTAAGCAGGGGTACCCACCCCACCAGATGCTACGGTGCAGTGAAGGAGGGCAGAGAAGAAAGAACAACAAGCTCTGTGCCCACTGGAGACATCTGACTCACAGCACTGGAAAACTTTTGATAAAAACGGCATAACTATCAACATACAGATATTATTTCCAGTGCTCACACTCTATGAATAGGTTTTGTAACCCCAATCTGGAAAATGAGAAAAACGAATTCTGATTAAATTAGATAGTGCTTCATTCACACTGATGCGTGCACGCGCGCACACACCCCGCCTCCCTTGAGCCCAGCCAGGCACATAGTAAATGCTCTGTAGATATCAATTCCCATTTCTCCTCTGAATACATATCACATTTTCATTCTGTCTGGAGTATTGATTCCCCAATATTCACTTCTAGAAACCATACACATTCTTTGAATTCTGCCTCGAGAATAATTCTAAGCCTGATCAATCCAGCCTAAAGCAATCCTTTCCCTACACAGCTGCACAATAAATATTTTTTGTTGATGTGTGCCTTGTAAGGGACTTGTTTTATCACAATATCCCTTATGTTATTTTACAGCTTGCAAATCCATTTTTTTAATCCATTGATTCTTTCCCATGAGAATAGCAAGGAGTCAGCATTCTAACTGGAAGTGAGCTGAAGATCATAGAAGAGTCATTTCTCAAGGACACTAGTGGGTTGTAGTCAGGACTAGACCCTGGGCTTCCTCTGACAAGTTTTCTAACTGCGGGACCAATAATACCTTTTCCACTCAGCCCCATTCATATGCCAATGCCCAATCACACAGCTGGTCCTTGGAAGGCTGGGCCATGGCTTGTCCACGGTCACATATCAGGCAGGGGCTTAGCATTTAATGGTAAACAAAGGAAAGGGACAAAGGAGACAATGAGAAAGAGATGACAGGCCCAGAAAAGCCAACTACACTTGGAAATTCTCTGGAAAAAA